AAATGTAGATCTAGAATTGGAAGTGACCCCCCATCCTTCTTCGGAGCGATGAAGTACCGGCTGTAGAACCCGGACTCTCTGTCGAGAGGAGGGACCACCTCGATGGCCTCCTAGAAAGTGTCTACTTCTTGTTCCATGACTAAAGCCTGCTCGGGGCCCACCACAGTGGGAAACACCCCATTGAATAGAGGCGGACGAGACCCGAACTGAATCTTGTAGCCTCTTTCTACAGTGTGCAAAGGTGTACTAGCTCCACCTGTATAGATCTGCTATGGGGTGATAATGTATGCTATGGGGTTTATTCATATCTGTTATAAGTGTAGCAGCAGAATTTTTTACATGCTCACACATGTTGTGGATGTATTGGCAGTAGCAAGTCTCGGTACTTGTTCTGCCGCAGCAGCAGTGTAACAGATCTATTCCGCCAATACCAACACATTTACATTGTCATGTACATTACCATGCCAATCCCTCTGATAGTTGTCATGACAGAACTGTGAATATATCTATTTTTTGGCCATTTTTATGCACAAGAGAGAGAGAGATCAGAAAAACCAACAAGACTAATGAAAAACAAAAACATTAAAATGATTAAAACAATAAAAGGGAAGTAAAAGTAAAAAAAAAATACAATCCCCCAAGTCATCAAGTACAGCCTCCAAGAAAACCAATATCTGTACTCAAATAAATGGAGCATATACAGTAATGAACACAAGGTGTACATGTTCATATACAGTGTTGCTCTGATTTTTAACAGGCGGCATTTAATGACCTCTAAAAACTCAACAGACAGAGGAGTGAAATTTTTGGAAAACGTATTCCCACTCCAAACTGTTACTAGTTTATTGACTCAGAAAAAAAAAAAACTTCACCATCCCATTCTCTCTTCCAGTCGACTTTATCAGCAGTACTATGTGTAAGGGAGCACAATCTGCAAAATAAAGCCCTTTTTCCTTTGTTTCTACAGCCATTTAAATTCAGGCTGCCTATTCTTAATTCACTCTTAAAACAAAAGGAAAAAGGAAACAAAAGAAAGACAAAAGAAAAACAAAATGGGGGAAAAAGTACTAAACATATCCACTATCTTTTATAGCTTTCAAAGCAAGTTTTTTTTCAATGATAAATCTCCTGATCAGTGAAAACTTTCTCCCCTGCGCTTTCAGAACTTCAGAACTGAATGTTCTTGATTGAATCAATGAAGAGTTGTTACACAGTTTTCCTCTCCCCTCTTCATTCCTGACTCCTCTGGTGCTCTTAAGAAACTTCTTAATACTCAACATGGAGTGGCCACTTTTTTTGAGGGACCAGGACTGTGAGGAACGTAAAGAATCCTCATCAGAGTTCACCCCAACATCACAATCAAAGGTCTGAGAACATTTGGGTTCATCAACCAATCATAAGCAAGTATTCAACAGCCTGTATTATGATAAAGTACAATATTACATTCATTATAACTGTAGAGAGAAAGAAATAAATGATCACTAATAATATTTTAAACATCTTAGCTGAGGTAAGGTGTGCAATTTTTTTTTGGCTAATCCCATTCTTTCTGCGCAAAGATTTTTTTTTTTAAAAGACAACATAGAATGACCTCTAACATGAATACAATGGAAGTAATAATTATTTTCTTATGATTCCTTATGGATCTTTCCTTATCAGCTGTTGTGCCTTAGCAGTGTGTGGGCAAGGCGTCTGATTAGTTACTTCATTTTCTATGCGGACTGCAAACCTAATTATATTGGTGATTCAGGGAGAGTTGAAGCCTGTGGAAATAGTACTAATTCTGCTCATCTGAATAAGCTCACTCACAGTAGTCAATGACATCCATGTTTAAGCCTAAAAGCAAAATATGTTGATTTCGTTGGGGTTATTCAGACTTCTGCTACTGCTGAATGCCACTTCAGAAATACATGACTGGACCAAGGACACCTTGTGGGGATGTGTGCCAAAGCACAGGTTCTTCAACATCAGGAGCATTTGAGTACAGTATTTAAATGCGATATCCCTGTCAGCCAGCTTTCAGGAGATGGGCGGATTCTAAATGTCATTTATATACAGTGGGTACGGAAAGTATTCAGACCCCCTTAAATTTTTCACTCTTTGTTATATTGCAGCCATTTGCTAAAATAATTTAAGTTATTTTTTTTCATTAATGTATTTGGCTGTATTAGATCAAAAGGGTGCTTCTACTAAATACTGAGCAAAGGGTCTGAATACTTAGGACCATGTGATATTTCAGTTTTTCTTTTTTAATAAATCTGCAAAAATGTCAACAATTCTGTGTTTTTCTGTCAATATGGGGTGCTGTGTGTACATTAATGAGGAAAAAAAATTAACTTAAATGATTTTAGCAAATGGCTGCAATAAAAAAAAGAGTGAAAAATGTAAGAGGGTCTGAAGTCTGAATACTTTCCGTACCCACTGTATATATATATATATATATATATATATATACACCTATATATATATATATACAAGACTTCCACACACAAAAAGGCTTCCATATCACAATCCGCTATCATTCATTTTAGCTGAAAAAACACTGTGTTATGCTGCTTGATGTTGCAATCTGGCATTTGTTATCATATTATTTTAATCATAAACACATTGGTTTTTACTGTTTGCTGCACTTTATTTTTGGTAATTTACCTACAGAATCTAATGAATGTTATTTATATTAAGTAAAGTACTGTAGCCCACTTCTGGACTGAAAAATAAAAGGGATACCGTTTATTGTGAAGTCACAGCACACAGTTGCAATTTAATTTTAAAACACATTAGAACTAAACAAAAAGAACAGCAACTATAGCCAGCAATATACTATAAATTTAGTTGATATCTGACAGGTAAATATTAGACAGCAGTGCCCTGAACATTCACTTTAAGTGCTCAGGCAGAGGTGATGCTCAATTTTGGTTGAAATTCCCCTGATATTTAGGCCTCACTGTAATGTTTTTCACTGTAATGTTTTATTGGCTTTTGCAAGAAAATATACTTGTTTTGGCTGATAACTTCAATATAACATATGGTCTAAATCAGATTCTACAAATGATTATCTGACCCTGACTGATGTACAGTACATTGTCTCCTTGAGAAAACATTATGCCAAAACTGACAACTCTTTTTTTTTTTTAGATTCCGTGTGGTGATGCATATGTTAAATATTCGCATTAAGCACCAAATATGTCTTCATGGCTTTAAACAGGTGCAGTTTCACTGAGGGAGGGAGAGTGAGTCATTCTGCAAATGACATACAAGCTTGAGCTTTTTGACTGCACAGGAAATAAATAAATAAATGCATAAATTAATGTAACTCTCGCCAACTAATTACTGCTATATAAAAAAAAGACCATAATAGCGAGATGAGGAGGACCATGCTCCATGATCCAACCCATTCCTAAACAAGGTTTTAGGTTTAAAACAGTAGCACAGCTTTGTTCAAATGCATTGTCTGTATCAGTAATCTGTGTACAATATATAAATAGTGAATAACTAAAAGCTGTTGCGCTTGTTTAAAGAACTTATGAAATCATCGTTATTTATTAATTTATTGTGGCTTTAGTTTGCCTCCCTCAGCTTTGAGGCCAACCCTATGGTAGTGTACTGTTTCACATACAGTGCGTTCCACATACCGATTTTCCTCTAGCAGATATTTGTGTAAAATGTATATCTTTGACTTCCAGTAAACAAAACAAAAGTATTGCTGACTCATCTTGCATTCAGGGGCAAACATTTTTGCCCATTAAAAAATCTTATAAATAAAAGCACCATAAAAGTGCATTTTCAGACTTTTGAAATATACTGATGATGCGACATAAAGCTTTTGTTTTACTGAGGTAAAAGTCAACGTATAACTATGAGTTGTGTTTTTTTATAGTGGTCTGTTTTACTTATGGAAAATGTGAAGGAAAATTGATTACTCTTGTAGTAATGCATAACCTTGAATGAAAACTTACTACATTTTAGGATTCTTCAAGATTATTTTCATACAAAATTCCAATGTGCTACTGTCATCATATTCGGAACCTAAATATTCTTAAAGGGGTCATATGATGCTTTTTTAAAGATCATTATTTTGTGTATTTGGTGTAACAGAATATGTTGACATGCTTTAATGTTAAAAAAACACATTATTTTTCAAATACTGTACATTATTGTAGGTCCTCTATGCCCCGCCTCTCTCAAACGCTTAGTTTTCTACAAAGTCCCTCCTTCCGACAAGCGCAGTCTGCTCTGATTGGCCAGCTGACCCAGTGCATTGTGATTGGCCGAACACCGCAAGCACTTGTCGGAAATGTAATGCCCCTTACCATAATCGCGAGCTTCATCTTTCAAAATAAATGTAAAGACAGTAAATAATGTCATTAGTTTTACCATCAGTTCAAGCCCGAAAGGGGAACAGAGTCGTGTGACAGACACGGTGAGGAAGCTGGAATGTGTTTGCAGTACACAAGCCACAATGCACAATCAGCTTGTAACACTCCAAAGAGAAAGGACAACTTGAAATCGCATCATATGACCCCTTTAAATACTGTAATATACCATAAAGGTAGTGAGCAACATCGCCTACAATTTGTAGGCTACTTTTTATTTGTAGACTACTTTTCTTCTGAAGTGAAATATAACTCATTAATCAATGACAAGACTTGCCTCCACTTTGGACTTTTGGCACGTGTGTGTGTGTTTTGAACAAAGAATTGTGAATGGAAAAGAGCTGCCTAAAGATTCTTCAAAATAATCTGGGGTTTCTTATGTCTTGTAAGATAATAACATAATGTTGACTAAACTATTACTTTAATTGGTGATTCTCTTCCAAAGGGTCACCGTAGCCTTCATTTAAGCGTCTGGAAACGATCCGCGGCGATGTATTCGAACCCTCCTCCGAGCGGGAAATTTGTCGCCATCCAGCACCCATCTGCGAGTGAGGGAAGGAGGGGGCGGGAAGGTTCGTTTGAGGAGGGCAGGCTTTCCAACGTTACTAGCGCTCCCCCACTACCCTCATTTCAGCATCTGAGGCAAATACTTCAAAATTCACCCATTGGACATGAAAGAATTCACTGGAAAATAAGTGGAAAGACAGAGGGAGAAATCAGCTGCCAGAGCTCAGAAAGTGTCTGAAGTCCGTCGGAAGAAAACAAGGATTTATCTCTGGTGAGGTACATTTCATGTAATAATGACTGAATGATGCGTGTCATATAGATATAAAGACAGGGAAACGCTGTTAAAGACATGTCTTCGTAAAATCCCGCAGTGTTTTATTCACGAGTAAGTGTGTTTTTCAGAGGAGCACGACATTTGTTTTAAGGTTTAACAGGTCTCTTTTCGCCACAGCAGACTACAGATACACTGAGGTGAACCTGACCAGGAGCGAGAGCTTATCACGGGCAAGACTGACGACTGTTACTTTGAGATGATATCACTTAAAATATTGCTTTCCCCCATTTATTAAGATCAATTTTAGTCACGCTGTCGATCGGTAGCTAATTTATTCACACTGTTGAAATACTGATGATGCGACATAAAGCTTTTGTTTTACTGAGGTAAAAGTCAACGTGTAACTATGAGTTGTGCGTTTTATAGTCGTCTATTTTATTAATGGAAAATGTGATGGCAAATTGATTACTCTTGTAGTAGCGTATAACCTTGAATGAAAACTTACTACATTTTAGGATTCTTCAAGATTATTTCCATACAAAATTCCAATGTATTATCTGAGAAGGAATGTGCTACTGTCGTCGTATTCGGAACTTAAATATTCTTAAATATTGTAATATTCCAACGAATAAATTCAGTGTTCAAAATAAATAAATAATAAAAGAAAATACAGCTAAGCTGTATTCGATCGATCGGATCCCAGAGTGTCAGAGATAACACTTGGATTGCGCGTGCGTTTTCTGTAGTTTGCTCCGTCTGCTGGTTTTCATATTGTGACAAATCATTTCAGTCAATAGATAGCCTATGGTCTTCATGGAGTTACTTTATTTATGAGCTCAACAGTAACGCGTTTATGCAACCGGTTTCTAATGCAAGTGAGCTTGCTTTCAAATGGGTGGAAGACGTCTGACTGTTTATTAAAAGAGAGCGAGAGAGAGAGAAAAGGGGGGTTTAGTGCGCAAACAAGCGCCTTGGGTATGAATGAATACACTTGTATCATGTAGCTACTGGAGGTCCTGCATTTACACGGTGTTTATAAAAAATATTGCAGCTTGCATCAAAACTGTTAAAGGAATATTTACCCCAAAATAAAAATTCTGTCATTATTTAATCATAATGATGTCCTTCTAAATGGCCATCCACCCATCTAACCCTATAGGACAAGAGGTTTGGAAAATGGATGGATGTTGTGCCAAATTTTTTTCTTTTTCTTTTCTTTTCTGATATTCATGCTAATGTTATAACGTTTTGTGAGGAACAGAATGGAAATGTTAAATTCTTCCTCTTTGCAGGTTTTAAAAAAAAAAAGAATCTCATTCACACTTGCAAGTCAAGTAAGTTTCATTGTGAATGATCATTAGACATGTTAAAACTAATTATGTTTACTATCAGCGCTGCAATGCATGTGTTTTAAGACGCCATGTTTGACGAAAGTGAGATTTATTTATTTATGATAGGAAAGTGTAAAATTGACAGAGATTGGAAAAATTCGAGCTCAGGTCCACATACATTATCATTCCATGCCATTTCAGTGCATGTGCATTACATGAGAGTTTGGTGGGGGGTTTGGAGATGTTCATCGAAAAAACTATTCACATTTCATTTTTTTTTTCTTCACAAAATTGTAGGACTTGGAATATAGACTGCAAAGTACTTCAGTGGTAATTAAAGGTAATTTATAGAGCTCAAAAGGCCTTGTTCCCATTCACATGGATTACAGCTGCATGATTTTATTCTTTCTTTCACGACATCTGCATTTTACAGAAGAAAGAAAACAATGTGGGTTTGGAACTAGAAGGTAACCTCATGATACACACTGACAAAACATTCGGCATGATTCAATACATTTTTAGGGAGAATCATAACATAATTTGACAACAGGATGTTCAAGAAAGAGAGTGAAATTAAGCGAGACATACACATGTTAATAGGAGAAAGACCTGGCCACATAAATGTCTCTCTGCAAAACAAATATAAATTCAATAGAGTTCACATCACTGAATGCAACAAATGTCCTGCATTTTATTTATTGTCAGCTAATTTCAAGATCAAAGGCTGCAATAAGAAAGAAAGCGACAACAGCATTGGTGACAGAATTTAGTGTTCACCCCTTATAAGAAAACTGACTGTGTGTTGAGCTCCAGTATGTGATGCAGAACGTTGAGTTTCATTTGCGACAGTTTGCACATCTGCTTGCCGAGGAGAGATGCTCATCTCCAGCAGGCCTTACCTGTGGCTTTCTGGCTTGTTGCAGCAGCACTGTGGTAGTTGAGTTGACTATGCCTTTATTTTATTTTATTTAAATAAACTATGTCTTTAGAAAAACTGAAAATATGTTTAAACCTTTTTATATAAATAGTTTATGCTAAAGGTTGAACAGTAGAAGAAATTAACTCATATAGCATTGCTTTTGGTGTATATCCCAACCCTTGAGAGACAAGGCGTACAGATGTGAAATGGCCTGGAACAGATTGAAATCCACATTAAAGTTGTGAAGACCATAGCCCAGATATCTTGGCAAGGCCATGGTAATGAGGGCAGTAGTAGATAAGAAACATGACAGGTTAAGTGCTGAAAGCTGAAGGTCTGTGAGCTCCAGAAGACTCCTCCCTCAAGGGAGCCATTTTCAGCTAGCCTGTGAGCTCGGCGAAGGCCTGAGTTAAAATTATAGCTCCAAATGCAGTGCTCAAAGCAAGGAAATAAACCCACTTTCAGCACTTCTGCAAAACTGAGAGAAGTGGGCATCAGTTTGTGTCTGCTCTCTCTCTCTCTCGCTCTCTTTCTCTCTAGCTTTAGTTCCACTAACTTCAAGGAAAGATTAATGCTTTACATTAGCATTTCACTTTAAAGGAATGGTGCCAAAGTGATTAAAGTTACTTCGAGGAATTATTAGTTTGTGCTGTTGTTTGTCACAACCATCCATTATTCCTAACTTTTAAAACTGGCTTCTGTCCCCAAGATATCAAAGCTGCTTGTCCTTTTTCAGGCAACTGACATTTGCATATTAAAATTGAATTAATTTTTATATATTTATTTATTCATAAGGTTGGAGGGAGGCAATGTTATTCTAGAATGTTATACCCTCTTCGACTCTCTGACATTTGACCACCTGTTTTAATCTAAATGAGCCATGACTCATCTACCGTGGAGTTGCAGGGTTTTGCTATTAACCTTGCCCTACCCTTTACACCTTGTTTTCAATATCACATAGGCAGAGCGAGGCATATAACCAGATGACTTCTTAACTGTGACTGTCTCTAAACAGACTTTTTACCATTACTTCAATCTTTCAAGTGCTTGGAGCTCAGAGCCTCTTTTTTTAGTGGGCGGCTATGCTGGAAAGAAGTGAAAAATCCAGATTTACACGTCAAACTGGGATGGCTGAAGAAAAGCACTGCCTTTTTTCTAACACAGAAAAATGTGTCTGAGCTCTCCAAATCCTTAGTATTTGGTATTCCTAGATGACTCAGCAGTTTTTACACCTCTGAAGTAGGATTATTTGACAATCCCCACTGAAATTTGCATGTGGTCAGCATGCAGGAGGAAAACACAAAGGAGAACATGCCAGCTAGATGGTCAAAGTTATGTGTTGTCTCATGTCAGACCTGGCCTGGTTGTATCTGACTAGAATACGAGCATGGGTCAGAATGGTCATATTATTATTTTTTGGCAGATTTCCCCCAATACTGCTTCACTTTAGGAGAATGATACAATTTACCTGTAAAACTTGACAGTGCTTTGTTTGTTTATTATTACACATTTTCAGAAACACAAGACAAAAGAAACAATGGTTTTGAAGACAAATCATAACCCAAACTATTAGCATACAGTAACATAGATTGGTTTACTTTAGTGTGATTGTGTTAGAGATGCCAGCTTGAGCATAAATCACTGTCCCTTCAGCCGCATAACCAAAAAGGAAAAGTAAAGCTGGGGTTAATCAATTCTGACAGGAGGTAAACTAGGTGAGCCTTTTTAATGGCAAGAAGACTCTACTGGGGTCAGTCAAGAGCTTGTCACTCACTAGTACAAGCAGTGAGTAGACAGATATGTGAAAGGAGAAATGAAAGTTAGCCTAGAGCACTCATGACTCACTGATTCAGCTCATGCACCTAAAGAGCTGTAGCCAATGAAAATCTTATTTGCATCTATTTAATGTATTTGTGAAATTAATAAAGACCACTTAACATGCAAATATCTTATGTATGTGCAAGAAAATTCAGTGCAATTCACCTGTGAAGACTTCTTTATGATAAGAAGACACATTTATTAGTTCAGCTAGTTTAGATTCTTTAATTTCCAAAAGAAATAAAATATGGTAATTTGCTCCCTGCCAGTACATAGGATTTACACTTCAGTGGCCAACACTTCTCATCTTCTAAAGGTAGCTGTCACACATTTTAGCATGCATATAATGTTCATTAAGTAGCTTCAAGGGTACTTGGACTTCATTTGATTCGTAGTCAAAACTGCATCAAATGAATATCGATAAACTGTGTTTGATAAGGCCAGTTTGAAGGGAACATGCTTTTATTAAACAAGTCCTTTTTTTCTTTGTTCAATTTTTTATTGACAGCTGAACTTGGAAGTTGAAGAGACAAAAGGGAAAACAGAAGACTTGCAAAGTCAAAGATAAGGACGGAATTAATTTTAGGTCGAAAAAATCCAGGTCACAGCCTCACATTCTCCCGATAGCTTAACTGCTTATCTTCTTCACAGACTTTTTGGTGGCTGCCTGCTCACAAGCATATAATGACCTGGACTCTTCCATAAAAATTCAACCTGTTAGCCATATTGGGCTTCAGGCACAGATTGGGACAATTACTCAAACCTTGGTCATTTCTCTACTTTTCAATCTTTTGGTCCTGTGGCTGCACTAGTCTCGTTAACTATGTGTTGACTGCATCACACTAATTTTCTCCTGCCTGCCAGAACCCAGTCAACTTTTTACTTTCCATTTCTTCCCTATTAATCATTTCGCCACTCATTATTTCATG